TGCGTAAGTATCTTAGCCGACGATTTAGCATCCAAGAAAAGCGCATTAACTTCCTCAACGTCCTCCTTCTTAATGCTGGTTCTTTCATTGATTTTCGCCGTCAAAGCCGCAGGTGTTAGAAGTTGCACTACATATCTCAGAGTAGTTTTCGTGCCGAGTTCGCTGAGACTGGACAGAGCTTCATCGTCGATTTGCAATCCTTCCGTAACAGCTCTTAGTTTAACTATTTGTTCGATCTCTTGTCTCGAGTATGGAAGAGTTCTTACAATGAGAAGACGGTCCAACAGGTCGAGAGGTATGCCGTGTGGAGAGACAATGTCTTCAGATCCCCGGATCACGCAGCGGCCACGATTTGTAGCGAAAATAACGATCGGTGCTATGGCACTTTCCAACGCACGATGTAGATAAGTGAACGTCTCTATGTCTAGCATATGAACCTCGTCTATGAACAATACTCCTGGTACTAACTCAGCAATGCCTTGATCGATGTATTTGTTTACTACCTTGTTTATCTCTTTCCGCAACTTATCTGAAATGATTTGTTTCTGATTAGACATATCTCTAATTATAATTGAACGAGATATATAATTATATATCTCTAATAACTCAATCTAAGAAAAATGTAAGTTTATAACGTAAAATATATTAATACGCCTGTTTCCATTCCATCATTTAACTTAACAGAATGGCACTACAAGCATCATCTTTAATTATAACTCGATAAATAGAACCTAAACAACTTGTATATTTTTCTCATTTTGAGTTTCAGATTTAGATAATTTTCTCTTTTACCTGTAATTTCGGTTTTCTTAGGTTTCATCAGTTGTCCCATCATGGACATTATGTCCTGTCCTCCTTGCGGCTTGGCATTAGCTACATCCAGATCATGCAACGTTACATCCTGAATAACTTCCTTCTTTTTGTGTACATCGCCTTTCGGTAGAGGAACATATTCCTCCGCTTCCAGATCGAATTCCGTAGCAAAATTATCGCTTCGACCTTGCCTCTTTACCGCCCCGCTATTGGCTTCGATGTAGATTACATCGCCAGCTTCCACCTTCTCTTTTTGCAGTGACTCATATATGGAAGGGTCCAGTTTTAATTGTTTTGTGCCTTTGGAAGTCTTCAATCCGAGGACTACGTGCGATACAGTTTTACCATAGCCACCCATAGGATTCTCCGTTTCGACAGGTGTCAACTCGGTGACTTCGCCCTCGTATACCTCCTTAGTCTCTTTGATCCGCAAGCCAATGGCCCTCCTGAAATTCTCCATGAGGACCTCGGTTTTCTTAATCTCCGAGCTGTAAACCTCCGAGCCCACCATAGGACAGAAAGGTACTTTGTTACCGAGTTCTTGAGCGATGGCAAGGGCTATCGCGGTCTTGCCTGTGCCTGGCGGACCAGCCAATAACACGGCACGTCCTGCCATCCTCTTTGACTTTATCATGTCGACCACAATGCCTGCTGCCTGTAAAACCAACATTACGCTTAACAATCCTGATCGTCATCCATCGAATCATTAAGTCCTTTGCACAATATCAGGCAACAGGCAATAAGAACAGGGAATAGAAATCAGAAATCATGTATAAATGTAGGATAAACAGTGAATAGACACAGAGTTTCCGTCATGTTGGAAATTAGGTACCTATTGTCTGTTGCCAACCAATCGCAAATAGCATTCAAATTTTTTAGGTTGTAATTAACATTTTTTTTATTTCTTGTTCCTAATTGCTCGTTGCCTGGCATTGTGCAAGGGGCTTCAATGTACAACGAGAAAAAATGCAAACAGGACTTTGATGCAAACTTTATATAGATTTTACTTTCATCTCTATTGAGAAAATACAATATGCATGACAATGAGTGTTTCCAGCAAGATACACATAAGTACATAAATAAACAATTGTGCTAGTTAGTGTGTTATGTTACTATTATTATGGCTATGGTCAACGTGACGCTACAAATGCTTTGGAGCGTTCTTCTTCTCTTTCTTTCTTCATTGAAAGAAGAGAAGAGGAATGCTTTGAAGCATTTGTATAGCGTCACGTTGACCGTAGCCCTTAAACGTGTTAGGATGACACGTGGCTCCGCGTGAAGGCGGTTGATTCTTAATCAGGGGATCTCTGATTCAAGTCCAGTCCTCATCCCTCTCATGAATCTCTCAAGTTATGAGATACATTAGAAAGTTTTGGCGTGAATATAAAAGAAGTAAATTGTAATTCATTTCGGAAGCGAAAAAATTTACATTTAAATAATTATTACAACACCTAAATGACTAATTAGAAATAGAGAACTGTAACGCATTCTCTGGTGATACAAGAGATCTGCGATGCATTCTTTTTGATACTCAGAAATTGAAGTTTCTATTGTTTATAATTAAGTATAACGGCACGATGCAGCGTGATGCTTGCCGGAAAAAACATTCCAACGCGGTTCCCGCCGCTTTCAAGGAAACCCTAACCTCTCTCGCCATTTCCTGACCGACGAGACCGGCCGCGCTCTGGAGGGCCGTGCCACTTTCATCGAGTCCGAGGCCCTTGATGTGCGTGTGCGCGGAGATCCTCTGGGTCTTGGCGGTGCTCTTCACCTCCTCGATCTTCATCGTCGTAGCTCTCTTGCAAAACTTGACCGACGTAAACCGGCGACGGCGAGGCGAGCACGTTCGCCACGTTCGAAATACTTGGAGCACGTTGCTATAGCTATCATGATCATGTTTGTTCGATTGAATACATCCCCTCCTTCCGGTCGCGTTGTTAGAGCAACGCCAACGCCATTTAGCGGAAATCAAATGCGCAGCAGCTTGCGCGCCACGTTCCGATGCGCAAGCTCGTTTTATTGATCCGATATTTCGCGGACGACTCCGTTATTCGCGAATGAAATTAAGAGGCAAAGCTCGAAAATAAGAGATATATCTCCCGAATTTGTCAATCGAAAAGAATACGGTTTTAAAAATTCTGATTGTGGAAAATAGAGATTTTGCAAAGCTGACCGCGTCAAAAAGTCCGCGTCTAGCAATTGATACGTTTTTTGAAGGCTAGATGTCTCGCGGGACGACGATTTCTCGCTAGCGCTGCGGACGGGCTGATTTCATATATAAGAGCATTCTAGGCAAGGCTTCGTTGGGTCTGATGCACCTGGGAAAAAGCTAACGATAAATCGTAATCTTAATTTGAAGTTGCCGCTAATTTCAATACAGTTGAACTATCTCAGCCCAAGGTGTGACGTCGACCCATTTTGCTTCGAGATACCGTTTTCCCGCGAATTCTTTTTCGTCGAACCTCAACCCTTTTTAATTCACTGTACTCTCGTGCCATTGTATTGATTCAGCTTTCCGTTCGAACGCGACCGACTACTTTATTTTAACCGCAACTATGTATTCTCATCTGTTTTGGATTGGATTTTTTTTAGGCTTTGAATTAATTATTAAAAATTTATTTATATCTTCGCGGAAGACATGACATTAATTTAAATAAATATTTTTCTGTACAAAGTCATGTTGTTATATATCGTTAAATTTTTCTTATAATGTAGTATTATTAATAATAATATTAAATAGCATTACAAACGTTTTTGTGTAACGACATAGTAAAAAAAGCTAATTAGCGCGCGTTTGTAGTGTTCTAGTAGCAGAAAAATTAAAGAGACGGAACAATTGCAATTAATCAACATTCGAGGACTCGAGCTTTAATTTTTCTTATCTATTTCTATGCTGAAAATTCACTCGTATTTAATTATAACATAAATCATATTACATCAAAATTATAATATAGAATCGAGATACTACAATATAATTCGTTCTTCGTAAGATTATCGTGTGTGACTCGATATTTTTTAGAACGAGAAACCACACTCGAACAAATTCGAGAATAATAAATAAACGTTTATTGTAATGTAGATTTCAACAGCTTACAAAACTTATGCGTTTATTAAGTACAGGGATTTATTTCTTTCAATTCCTTCGATTCTATATCCTCCCTAAAATGGAATCACACTTTATACAGAGGCTTTGCTTCTCTGTCTTCAAACTCTGCTACTATCGTCTGGATATCTTTCATCTGGAACGGAAAATTATATGTATTAAATGCAAAGTATATTACCGATGACGAGACATCGCGCAAAAAAACTTACCTTAACATGAGCGTATAATATGATTCCCACCAATGTCAAAGTTATACCAACGACTTGATTTATCGCTAACGTTTCGTGGAAAAGTAACGAGCCTCCTAGCAGCAGAAGGCAGAATTTGGAATGTCCAACCATATTGTATCTGAGCATTTTGTTAAAGTGCATAACACTTGAGTTTGTTGACATCTCGTAATATAATACATATTAATGTAAGGATACGTTAAAGGCGAAGTCTTTCCTATGATCCAGTAGGAAGTTAAATTCACGAAGAACGCGACCACACCCGACAGTATCACCATGATCTGTAATTGACGTACAATATGATCGTTCAATAATCTCGAAAGCTCCTCAGATTTGTCGCTTAATGTTTCAGAAACGTACTATGTCCAACAACGACCAACTGTGCGTGAATGTCTGTCCGACCGGCTCCAAAATTGGGACAACGATCAACAGCATAACGGCAGACAGTGGCGCTTGATAAAATAACAACTGCATTGGATCCATTTGAAACTCCTTCTGCTTTCTGTTTATCATCTGCAAGAAATGATAAATGAAATAATTGGCATTGCGCACTTGTACCTGCACATTAAAATTTGTATATAAAATTCCATAAATTATCAAAAGTAAGAAATAACAGGCGCAGCACGTACAACTTGATACAGAGATGTCACGAGTACTCCCAGCGTCGCATAGATGGTACCAACGACGTTGAATTGTATGTCGTAATAAAAATTGATCACGACTCCCAGCGTAATCGGTATCAGAGTCAACTTAACGAGTATGCCAAAGTGCTTCCTATAAAATATCATCTGCATCACTATCACGCAGGGCGTGGTGAGCATCTTCGCCACCTGATAAGTCCCGACTGTGTTGTGGGCCAGGCTCAGGTTCGTCAGGACGACGAAACCGCAAAACGTCATGGCGATCAACACCATCTCCTTGATGTCGATGTCCTTGACGCAGAAGACATCCAGCTTCTCGCAGATTATCAGGCCGACGAACGTCATGAAGAAGTGTATCATGGACAGCGTGATGTTTGGAAAGCGTGTGTGGACGTAGAGCCATTTGTTCAGGAGCACGATAACAATTGAGAAGACTATGTTTAGCGTCAGGTAAAACACGGTGACCACCTTCTTGTTCATCTTTAGAGACCCTAATAATGTTTGCCGGCCGCGAAAATTCAATGATTCCGTTAACAATAAATGTTAACGTTGGCGTTAACGTTTCAGGACATCAGGTTACATCTCACGCGAGCGCGCACACGGGGAGGCTCCCGGCTAGAGAAACATCAACAGTAATATCACGACCGTGTTCCATTCGGGTTCATTTATCGCTCCATCCGACAATCACATAATTCGCGTATGTCGAACGGTGTGCCATGTCCGAGTGTCTGGAGCATCCGTTCGCCAATCATTCAACATTTCAGACGACCAAAAGCGATTGACATCATGCCATCGAGAAGGGACGCTATCAAGGGACAGTACATACGTATACCACCAGGCGATCCCACGTGACTTTCTTTCGCGAATGCACGAGAGTGCGTTCCAAAATATACTGACTACTCTGATAAAAAAATTTCTCATATTTTAGATTTATGAAAAATTCTGAAAAAATATGTCAAACCTCTCAGATACTTTCAGAAACAATTAGATGAGGATTTTCAGAATATTTTGCACGTATGAAAATTTTTTAATAAATTGCGCGGATTTTCTCATATTTATATTCTTTTTACAAAAACGGAAAAAATCTGAAATATTATTTTATTCTTTTATTATTATTTTGTTTAAGTTTCTCTGAAAAACGTTCCAATTTGTATAAAAAAGCTAAAGAGCTGTCTTAAAATTTTCATAAAAATTCTGATATATGATTTTATTAATAATATAAAAAATTCTGACATATTTTTAGACTTGAGACGATTTTAAATATCATCGAAGTTTATAAATATCGCTTGAATTTTGAATTATTTTGTTTCTCGCGATATTGCCGAGAGGGCATTGGTGCACTAGCGAGGTTTTTCCCGCCTATCTCCGATAAATATCTCGTCGATGACGTAAGTGAAGCACGAGGCGAGCGCCAAAAAACCGTTCGATAACCGCTCAAATCTTCGGCGGTTTTTCTGTGATGTAAAGTGACAAAATTATTGTAGCAACTTCCTGAAAAGTATCGGAACATGGTGGAGTTCCCGCTGGGGTATCGCGAGGTCGTGCCGGACCAAACTCTGCCAGAGAAATGGAAAGAGATCACTCTGAACACAGGTAAAGCGTGTCCTAACCTCCAGCCGGAGACTCCGGCCACCCGGCAAACGAATTTTCGCTCGCGATGTCACATAAAAATGCCTCGAGGAACTGTTCACGGCGACGCGCAAGTACGACGCTCGCGGAATAATGTATCGTGTAACGTTTATAAGTCGAAGTATCAATTTTCGCACGCTCTAACCTCTGCCTGTCTATGCTCGTTCTATGTAAATTGATTTTAGATTTTTAACGCCGTAAATTAAACGGCACACGTGACCGATTATTTGTATATGTGTCAAACGCGTACGTCAATTTGCCGCGTTTCGGTAAAATTAATTTTAGAGAGTAATAATTATTATTTAATTACTATTAATCACTATTCTCTTGCTAATATACGAAATCTCATAATAAGTAATCGCATAATATATGATAAAAATTAAAATAATTGTGTTATTATATTATTATCCATTAACGAGGAATGCATAATGAGGATTTTATTTTTACAGGTGGAAGCCAAAGCACGTTGCAAGACATAAAAGTACCGGAGAGAGCAGGCGGCTACTCGTACAAAGATTCTTCCACGTATTTCACTCGTAACCGCTTTATTTACTGGCGCATTTGCCACGACGTACTCGAATTGGTCGAGCACAGTTTGGATATTAATCTTGCCAACTGTCGAGTGAGATACAAATTTACGGACACTCCGATTCTAGATGGGATTTCCATTCACGAGACAGTCAACTCCGTCATTATCTTGATCGTCACTGTTTCCAGCGTTCACAAGCTTTCCTTTTCTCATCCAGATAAGATCCACAATCAAGTATGCATGAATTTGGTTACTCGTTTTTGATATATATTTTGTTAGCAAGAATATTCTGTCAATAATAAGATATTCTATTTTCTTTAAGGAAAATCTATTGGGCACGTATACAGATCTCAGTGTGCAATCTATATTCAGCGAAGCCACCGTACAACATGCCAGAGATCCTCACACATTTCACATTATTTCCAATGCTGGAGCTACAAGTAAGAGATTGCAAGATATGGCGTAATAATTAAAACAACGCAATAAATTTAATTTTGTCACTGTATTATGCCAGACATTGATTCGACGATGTTTTTAGATTCTCCAGTGCCTCATGCAGCAGCGTCGTGGCTTACCTTGCCGCAAGAAGAGGCGCTGTTTGCCCTTGCCTATAGTTCGGCCACTATATTACTCTTGAGGCTCGACACTCTCACAGGTCTCGTGCACACCAGCGAACTGAAACAGGACTCGATAATGCCCAAATTTTTAAGCGGCATAGCCACTGCATTTAGAGGTCGTAATACCGAAGCTCATGTGGCTATGTCTCTCGTTATACACAGTTACGGTAGCGATACGTACCTGTTTGCGTTATGTCGAGAGGGCAATGTACGTATATGGTCCTGTAACAAGACGCAGTGTGTGGCTGTGACGGACGCAGCCACTGAGAATCGTGTTGTATCTCAAGGTGCGCAAGCCCACGTCTTGAGGAAAGCGCTGGGCAACGATAACGAATTGTATCTTGGAATTTTCTTAAAATTCGGCACGAAATGCGAATTCAGCATTCTGAAGCCTGTACAGGACAATGGCATATTCAAGTTTGTTAGATTATGTGCGTTATACGCGCCAGATGTGAGTACTTTCATTGATATGCCTCTTTTTATGTATCATACTGTGAAACAAACGTAACGAATTTACATTATTTTTACACAGCAACATCTGGTGGATTTTGCATTTACGCCAACTAGATTGTGGGCAGTGTGGAGGACCGCGGACATGGATACGGTGGCAGTGACGCACGCACAGTTACCACTAACGGCACTAACGCATCGCATTAATCCCGCATGGGAAACCACGATCTTGGAACAAGCGCGCGACAGAGATTATATTGTAACCGAACCTGGAACGGATCCGAGAGAAGCGTACATCAATTACATATTTCATCCTGGACAATTCTCATTAGCGGACATCACGAAAGCTCTGAGCATCTACAGAAGATCCAATATAGTTGCAGACATGACCTTTTCACCGGCCGTTTTAAAGGAGAGAGTGTGTATGGCCGTAGAGGCTGAGATGCAAGCGGAAGTGATGGATTACGTGATTATGGATGAAGATTATCTCGAAATTGCTAATCGATGTTGGTCGAAATTCTATTCGTGCGTCGTTCAATATCACGCCAACGGTACTCGTCCAGTAGGCCTGCTGTTACTGCCGAGCGTTTACGGCGCAGTATTATTGAAGAAGTCCTCGTTCTCGCTTCTGAGACCTATGGAAGCCTTAGAACATCTTGTGCTTTGCAACGATAAGTCTTATATTTCTCGGTTCAAGACAACGCCCGTTTTGTCGCAAGATGAGGACACATGCCAAGATCTAATCGTGTTAATGTCCGCGTTGGTCATGTTGGGAGAACAATTATCTGAAGAGACTAAAACGGAAATCGAGAGAGAATTGTATCATCTGAGAAGTCCAGATATCATAATCAACGATTTGCTGTCGAAACTGATGTTGGAACCCGACGATTCTGTGAGTATTTTAATTAATTTCTATTATCGTTTTCTTTATATGTTGGAAATCTCTCCCATGTAACACGTACACTGTTAAAAATAGCTGTCGGATTTTGACTTCCAATCGGAACTCTGTCACAAACTGAGTAAAGTCAAAGACATATCGAGTGCCATGGCCATGTTGTTGGAAACTTTAACGTATGATCTTGGGCAGCCAAATAAGCTGCAATTTGACGATGATCACGATACTTCGAAGATCTTGTTGAACGTCAGTCATCTATTTGGCAGTCAACTAGGAATTTCCGCGGTGGCGGAAACCATAACGCAAATAGCGCTCTTGAGATTCTCCATCTGCAGGGATTTATTGATGCTGCAGCAACTCATACTGAGGCGTCCTGAGATGTGTAATTTGAGATCTTTACACACTATAAGATCATCGTTGGCGCCGAGAACCGTTGTACTTACTCAAGCTTACTATGTCGTCACATGGATATGCGAATCGACAGCAACGTATACGCCTTCGCAATCATTACTGTAAGTCTTACATCGTTTTAATGTAGTGTAAAAACTATATAAATTTATTTCCTATTATTACACGATATCTAAACAGCATCGTGAAAACGTATAAAAAAGATTATAAAATTTCAGCGAATCCAGCTCCCAGCGTCTTTCAACTCTTAAGCTCGCTGATTCGCGTATTAATGTTGGACAAAGGCAGCACCGATCTCTCTCGCTGTTAGAACTGTTTATTCACAGTAGCGGTGCGAAACACGCTCATATTCTGATGGCCCAAGCGAATATGGACTCAACCGCTCTGATACCGTGGCATTACAGTATGCTAACGCATGTGACGCTTCTCGCGCAACTTGTGTATCCTTTAATAACATAAATCAGTCTTAGCAGTTTGCGTGAAGTCCAGATTCATTGTCTCTTCATATTTTCTTAAACAAAGCAATTAGATGGCCGATATCCGGAAATTTTATCTTCCCCGAATGGTTACTCTCCAGTTGCCAATTCCTGCTTGTTCAAGAATACGTGAGACTTCTGAATATGTGGTGCGAATGGAACAGCGCCTCGAGGAAATTTATATTAGCCGTTGCCTTATTAGAAATGGGAGAGATGCAAAAGGCGTGCGATCATTTTCTTCGTGCTTCCAACGGAATATTGACCGACGTGTTTTTAGTGGATGCCTTACTCAATTCTAACATGACATCGAAAAATAAGGATCTAGTTCATTATTACCTGAAAGTTATCAAATTGTTCGAAGAACATAATGCGTCCGACTGTATCATAGAGATCGCCGAAACAGCCATAACAACTGCCGACGCGGATGATCCGAATTTACCGACGCTTCACTCCATAATATTCGCACAACATTTGAGTCTGGGTCATCACACGGAAGCTTACCATTGCCTGAATGCGAATCCAGACCCCGTGCGCAGAGTGGACTGTTTACGGCAATTGGTTGTTACGTTATTCGAAAAGAAATTGTTAATAGATTTGATTTCTTTTCCCTACGTCGATATGTACGAGGATCTCGAAAGAATAGTAGAAGGTAGAGCCAGAAGCGTCGATCTTATGGAAAACAATTATTATAATTTTCTATACAGTTTCCATATCAATAAGCAAAATATGCGAAAAGGTGAGTTTCTTGTTCTATAATTGTGGGCATCTGTGTCACGTTGCTACAAATTTCTTTAATATTTTCACAGCCGCGTCCATAATGTACGAACAAGCTATGCGTTTAAGTCAAGAACCTCACTCCACGCCGATTATAGCGAAGCAAGCACAATGTTTACTGGCGTGTATCAATGCTTTGCATCATGTAAGGGAGAAGTACAGATGGATCGTAAGGCCGGTAATTGATCAGAGCATCCCCAGCGAGATGAACTCGTCGAATCCACAAAAGAAGAGAAGCATTGACGGAAAAGAAGTATCGCATTACAAGATAAAGAAACAAATTGAAGTGCTCGAATTAGATGACATCAAAAAAGAATATTACATAGTAGACGCAAGATTAAAAATATCGAAAGTGAATTCGGAAATGCATATAGTCACCCATACCGGTAAATGTCTTTTAACTACGTAATTTATCTTTACAAGGAAAATGAATGGATTTTATTATAATTTAAAAATTGGATTATTCTAAAAAAAATATGTTTATATATTTCAGAACTATCCGAGCTTATCGTCACCTTGTGTAGCATTGGTTTGTACGCAACAGCGTTACATTTATGTGATGTATTTAAAATTAGTAAAGCCTCTGTACTCAAAAGCTTGACCTCTCAATGCATCAAACTAAGTCAACGCGAAGATCCAAATGCCTGGGATTGGCTAATACAAAATGATATATTTGGTGCGCATAATTATTATAATTTTTGTAAACCGTTGCTGCGGATATTTTTTCCGAGAAATATATGACGGTCAATATTCTTTTTCAGATATTGGAATATCTAATACAACTATTACGAACACCGCTTGGAGACTATTGGAGTACTTCACATTGAAGCACGAAGAGAGTGATAACTGCGAATTACATAAGGCCGTTGCGCAAAAATTATTGCAGGAAGGAGCTTTTCTACCACAATGGTTATTAATATCGTATAAGGTAACTACTCAGTCAAATTTATATGTAGTGTTTCTAGATTTATAAAATATTATATTCACATAAAAATTATTGTAGAAGCGAAACGCCTCAGAACTTCTACGTCTCATGCTAAATACGGGTCGTCTAGTGGAAGCCACCGACTTAGCGGTAGATTATATTAACGCGGTATTAGGTAGCGGTAAAGAATATTTTGGTCTTGAAACACCATTGGTAGCTACCGCGCCGTCTGTTTGGTTACCGCATAATACCATAGAAGTATTGTTAAGTGAATTAAAGCACTTGAGTAAAGACTCTGCTCATAAAGAGGTATATATTAAATGTATATTTTCAAGTATATTTTTATACTTATATTAATACCGTAACTTGATATTAATGCTGCGATTTATATTTTAGAGCTACGAGAGATTAAACGCAACGTTGGAGAGCTATCTGAAAACTGTAAAACGCGTTTCGGAAGACATGATTAAAATGAAAATGATGAATGAACAATCTTAGTGGTAAGTAACATCTATTTATTCAATATGTATACCTAAGTATCACAAAAATTATTGTATGTATCAGTTTTGAGCTCCCAGTTCAATGTACATATGGAAGAAAGACTTATACAATATATATAATTATTTGGTCAATATATATAAGTCAATATATATATAAATATAAAAATGAAGGCATAAAAGATTAACATCACAGACAAAGGAGCATCGAGCCGTAACAAGGTGTTGGTGTTCATATATTCTATATTAATTAAATAATTACAGACGTTTCGGACCATAATTACAGACCTATATAGGACCATCCTCAGTGTCGTACAATTAAGTCAATTAACGCAACAGTTCGTTGAATTCGGAGTAAACCATGAAACCATTTAATTAATATAGAATATATGAACACCAACACCTTGTTACGGCCGCTGCTTTTTTGTCTGTGATTTCAATATATATAATTATTTGGTATAAATGCATTAAGTATAAACTGGATCAGCTAGATCTACTAGATCAACTGGATCGTCATTAAGTAACAATATAGTTGTTAGTATGATAACGATGATGAGCAGTGCAGTAATAATTGCGGCTACCGTATGAGGACTTCGTTCAAACAGTACCTGTAATGGCTGTTTGAAATTTTAAATTTTAATTGAATATTCCATTAATATATATAAAGCGATCGTGATTACAATAAATTTAAAGTCGTTACCATTAATAAAACTACTACTGCAAGAATAACAACAGATCCGACATGTAACAAAAAGGATGCAGCCCATTCTAAAAAAAATCTTATGTAGAAAACAAATGTCTTGTATTATTTTTATATCAGATGCTCACCTAAATGCAAATTCTGTTTAAGCCTAATACTTATGTATTTTTCAATTGCAGAATCAAGCTCACTTGTATCTACGGTTCGCGTATCATCTCTCAACTGGTCTTCTGCGATGTACATACTTGTGTCAATTTATATTATTAATACAGTAACTGAAACAGTATAAAAAAATTATCATTTATAATTTTTGAAGTTAATTCTGACTTTTACATCTATCAATGAGTTTTCCATTATGTAATAAGGGAATTTTTTGTTTGTATGGTGATTTAAAGTGCCAAGAATGGATTGTAATATACTTTACATATCTTGTTAGAGTACAGTCAACGGTAAGGATGCCTTGTTGAATGTTTAAATTTTAATCTTAAATTATTGTTTGTTACACATTTCATTATTTATTATTATTCCTATAGCTTTAGAAGCTACGGAATACGTATAATAAAGTTAAATGCCGTTGTCACGTTTTCTTTATTTGTACGTTGCAACGTCTACAGCCTTACCTCTTCTGTAATCTAACAATGTTTATTGTATAAAACATTCTCATTAAAGACTGTTACTGATTTGCGTCATTCTCAATATGATAGTATAATATTATATAGAAATAATTTCTTCCATTTTTACATTAAACACGAATATCAACAAAACAATTTTTTATTGTTGACCGTGAGTTTTAAGAGCAGTGATGTAAACACTACGTGTTTATAAACCGATGTTTTTACTTGCAACTTTTATTTAAATCCTGTCATACCGTCTAAGATAGAAAGTAAATTTTATTATGAAAATAAAATGAGACAATCATCTGTATAACTTTCAGAAAAATGTGACATCATGTAACCATAATGTATACCAATGAAAACAGTCGTGATTATTGAATCAAATATTATAATAGAAGATATGCTTCACATTTTAAATCTTGTACATTTTTCTAACGTGGTCGTATGTGTGTAATTGCATTACTAACAACAGTTAATTCAAATTCAGTGCCAAGCGAGTTTTATCACTATATGAAATCGTCCTAAATAGCCAAATCAAGTGTCTACTACAGATTTTATCCACGAAATGTTAACGCGCGGAAATCTAAAATATTGAATCCACTCGATGGCAAATTGGCAAGATAAATAGAGAAAAACCTGTCGTTTCGTATCTGCCATATAAATAATATTTCATTTGTAAGATGACGGATACTGCTCGGGTTCTGTTGCCAATCTGTCATCAGATTGAATGACCACGGTCAAACTCCAATTAGCTTAATCAAGCAACATCTGCACAATTTTAATATAGAATTATAAATTCAAAATACATGAAAAAAAAGATTAGATTGAAGATAAAAAAATTTAGAAACCGCTCCTGCCGGTTGAATTAATCGCCAACCAAGTTAATCAGAATTTGATCAAAGTTAAACTTGCTACCAGGTTCTGCCGGCAAAACACAAGCGTACCGTGAACACAGTTGACGCCAGTCTATCAAGGGTACGTTCCCAAGTATACTGACAAGACCAGGATCAGACATCCAAGTTATATACGTTATACATTTTCTCTACTGTCAGCAGATTCTATAACGCATCCAGAGAAATTTGACCCAATCTGCTGGTGTACCGATAACACTTTATTCACCGAAGCTCGTGTATTCTAAATGATGAATGAACAATCCTAGTGGTAAGTAACATATCCATTTATTCAATATGTATAAGTATCACAAAAATTCTTGTATATATCAGTTTTGAACTCCCAGTTCAATGTACATATGGAAGAAAGACTTAGACAATATATATAATTATTTGGTCAATATATATAAGTCAATATACATATATAATTATTTGGTATAAATGCATTAAGTATAAACTGGATCGTGATTAAGTGACAATATAGCTGTCAATATGATAACGATGGTGAGCAGTGCAGTAACAATTGCGGCTACCGTGTGAGGACATCGTTTGAACAGTACCTGTAAAGGCCGTTTGAAATTTTAAATTTTAATTGAACATTCCATCAATAAAGTGATCATGATTACAAAAAATTTTAAGTCGTTACCATTAATAAAACAACCACTGCAAGAACAAAAATTGATCCGACTGGTAACAAGAAGGATGCAGCCCAATAATGTCTCATTTCAGGTTCTATAAAAAGAAATAATTACATTACGTTAAACTTGTTCTAAAAAAATCTTATATAGAAAAAAATATCTTGTATTTTTTTATATCAGATGCTCACCTATTTGCCAATTCCGGTTAAGTCTATAAATGGAAGAAGGCGATTTTATTATAATACTTTTGTATTTTTCAATTGCAGAATCAAGCGCACGTCTTGTATCTACGGTTCGCGTATCATCTCTCAACTGGTCTCCTGCGATGTACATACTTGTGTCAATTTATATTATTAATACAGTAACTGAAACAGTATAAAAAAATTATCATTTATAATTTTTGAAGTTAATTCTGACTTTTACATCTATCAATGAGTTTTCCATTATGTAATAAGGGAATTTTTTGTTTGTATGGTGATTTAAAGTGCCAAGAATGGATTGTAATATACTTTACACATCTTGTTAGAATACAGTCAACGGTAAGGATGCCTTGTTGAATGTTTAAATTTTAATCTTAAATTATTGCTTGTTACATCTCATTATTTATTATTATTCCTATAGCTTTAGAAGCTACAGAATACGTATAATAAAGTTAAATGCCGTTGCCACGTTTTCTTTATTTGTACGTTGCAACGTCCACAGCCTTACCTCTTCTGTAATCTAACAATGTTTATTGTATAAAACATCCTCATTAAAGACTGTTACTAATTGCGTCATTCTCAATATGATAGTATATAATATTATATAGAAATAATTTCTTCCATTTTTACATTAAACACGAACATCAACAAAACAATTTTTTATTGTTTACCGTGAGTTTTAAGAGCAGTGATGTAAACACTACGTGTTTATAAACCGATGTTTTTACTTGCAACTTTTATTTAAATCCTGTCATACCGTCTAAGATAGAAAGTGAATTTTATTATGAAAATAAAACGAGACAATCATCTGTATAACTTTCAGAAAAATGCGACATCATGTAACCATAATGTATACAATGAAAACATTCGTGATTATTGAATCAAATATTGTAATAGAAGATATGCTTCACCTTTTAAATCTTATACATATTTCTAACGTGATCGTATGTGTGTAATTGAGTTACTAACAACAGTTAATTCAAATTTAGTGCCAAGCAAGTTTTATCACTACATGAAATCGTCCTAAATAGTCAAATCAAGTTTTGCAAAGTGTCTACTACAGATTTTATCCACGAAATGTTAACAAATCTAAAATATTTAATCCACTCGATGGCAAATTGACAAGAGAAATGGAGAAAAACCTGTCGTTTCGTATCTGCCATATAAATATTTCATTTGTAAGATGACAGATAAGTACTGCTCGGGTTCTGTTGCCAATTGTCATCAGATTGAGTGACCACGGTCAAACTCCAATTAGCTAATCAAGCAACATCTGCACAATTTTAACATAGAATTATAAATTCAATACACGAGAAAAAAGATTAGATTGAAGATAAAAGGATTTAGAAACCGTTCCTGCCGGTTGAATTTTAATCGCCAACCAAGTTAATCAGAATTCAAACAAAGTTAAACTTGCTACCAGGTTCTCCCGGCAAAACACAAGCGTACCGTGGACACAGTTGACGCCAGTCTATCAAAAGGGTACGTTCCCAAGTGTATACTGACAATACCAGGATCAGACATCAAAGTTATATACGCTGTAAATTTTCTCTACTGTCAACAGATTCTGTAACGCATTCAGAGATACACTTGACGCAATCTGCTGGTGTACTGATAACACTTTATTCGCCGAGGCTGGCGTATTAGCGCAATTATACGCGCGTATACATGCTTACCTCGACGTACAACATCCTCTCACGCGGGATTCTTTCGATCAGTGCCATTTCCCGACGAGCAACATCGTCCGAACTGAAAACAGAGATAGAGACCAACAACAAGCTGGAACCGACGTAATCGGTGGCATACGGTTAACGCACCCCGGCCGCTGCGCGCACCGTAACAACATCCTACTTGTATCGCGCCGAGCGACAAGCGAGATAAACAAGTTAAAAGTTCAATCGCTCCTCTCGCCGCACGCGAGCAGCGAGATACCTGTCTTCGGTCCCGCAGATCACCGCAGATGATTCCGTCTCGTGGGTACGTACGCTCGCCGCTCGCCTCGACTGCACTCTTCTTGCACCCGGCGCGAATATAAATTCACCTATTTTCTCGTTTTTCAGCCGCATTTTTTCCGCTACGCGGAAGACTGAATCCACGTGCGAAAGGAACGCTGGAGAAGGCGAGGAAGGATTGTAGGCGTGATCAAGCGAACGACTCGAATCTGGAAATCTGGATCATCTGAAGGGCTGCTCGACGAGCTCGTCTACCGAATTCGTGGGTCCCCGACCCGATGGCGGCGTGCTAGAAAACCGGCTGTTTTGTTGACGTTTTGTACATAGGTGACACCGCGCGAAATCAAGCAGGATGATGAAGATATCGGCGCTCAACGAGGAGTCGAGCGAGGAAAGCGAGGAGGAGGATGTACCCACGATCACGAAGGAGGCGCAGGTACCCCACGTCTGTTTACATCGATATGTAACCTAAAAAAAAATCTCTTCGACGCTTCCCTGCCCCGTTTCCTTACCGTTTACATTAATTTACAACGCATTTTTGCGTTAGTATTGTTTATCCAGCGTGCGTAATTAATGCTCGAAACGATCGAGCGCACGCAAATCCACGCCCGAGTTCCCCATTCGGAACCAGATTGTGCGTGCAGCTTGTATACATCTCTCTCTTCAGCGAGGTGTGCAATCTAAATTATTGCGCACTGATAATCGTAAAGTTAGCGATAATTAAATTGATACTGAAGGAATACACTTGATATGTGCGATAAAATAATTGTGAGATAATTTCTTCCAGGAACAAATAGCGCTGACCGAGTACAACAAAGCCCTGGAATTGTTGAAGGAGAACAAGCAAGAGGAAGCGCTGATTATCTTCAGGGACCTCCTGGATACCGAGCTGTTGGACGAAGTGGAGAAGCCCGAGGTGCCGGATGGCAGGTCCAGGCCGATGCTGTCTCTGAAATATTCCTGCTTCAAGAACATCGGCGCCATTCAGGCGGCTTGTGAGAATTACGAAGACGCCGTGGAGAATTACTGGAAGGCTGCGAACCTGGACGATTCCGACGTGACGCTGTGGCACAGGATCGGCACGTTGGCCATGAAGACTTCCAACCTGGAACTGGCTTGCTCGTCATTCAAGCAAGGCCTGAAGTGTAATTTCAATCACTGGCCGTGCTTGGACAACCTAATAACTGCCTTATACGCCGTTCCTGATTATATGAATTGTCTGTTGTATATTTCTGTGGCATTGGAGATGGATCCTTGTTATGTGAAGGGTCTAGCTTTTCGTGACAGGATATTTAAAGACATTCCGTGTATGGAAGAATGTTACAAATTGTACAATAGCGACTGGCAGTTAGACCCACCCTTGTATACCGAATACGATCATGTATTGGGTGACAAATTGTTGGCGGAGGCGAAGGAGGTTTCCAGAAAGTGGGCGGAAGTTTGCAAGGCAGAGTTTACTCTGAAACCCTTGCCCGAGTTGACTTTAAGAATGCCCTTAACGAGCTGTACATGGCTGGCTCTCGGAGAAAGTCTGCTGGACATGCATAGATATATTGCCGAAAATAACTTGAATTTTGTTAGCAAAATTGTGTTATCGGTTCAAAAACCTAGCGATAAAAATGCAGCGAGTACTGAGGGGGAGGCTGTAGAAAGTAATGTAATTATGATGGAAGTAGATCAGCAAAATGACTCGATTCCGAACGGAGTGAATGATATCGACAAACCTATTAAGATCGAAACGGAAGATTGCGAGATGTCGGACGACAATCAAATTTTTAATACGGACACGGCAATGGAAATTGAAATTGAGGAGGACAAAAAGTCTTGCTCGAGCGACGTGCAAATAGTCGAAGATGAGGATCCGTTGAGAATGTCTGACACGGATGGTTTGCAGTGCGAAGAACAAATTGAAACGAAAAATATAGAATTGGAGGAACAAATGCACTCCGAAGCAGACGCAAATGTCGACAAGTTAGAGAGCGACAAAGTCACAGACGACGTCTACGGCATGGATAATGGAGTACCTAATGAAAAATCCAGTGACAAGGAAAGTGATAAATCAAGCGATAAGGCTTCTGACAAAGGCGCGGAAAAAGCAAGCGATATAATGTGTAAAACAGACAGTAGTAAAGCTCATTCCGAGAAAGGCGATGGAAAGGAGGAAGGGCAGAAGGTGAAGAAACGGCGCAGAAGTGCACTATGCTTTTTGCAGCAATGGGCTTGGAGTTGCAACAGCATGAGACGATCTGCGAGAGTAAGAGGTTCGAACAGAAGGGAAGCGGAGAGGGATGATGTTCAATTAGAGGAAACGCTTAGAAGATTGTTCCCTAGTACTCTGTTGTATGTACATTAAATAATTATATATACACATGTAATTAGTTTAGAAGCTGTAAAATATAATTTCTTGTAATCTGTTTTACAGACCTGAGACGGTAAGATTAACTAAGGATGATGCTAGTAGGAATGTCGAAGATTCTATGGACACCATGGATATGTATCAATTATTTGCGAATCAGGAGAATAATAAAAATGTAGAAACTCTCAAAAGCTCGGAAAGTTCTAAATCGCCAAGTCCCGACACAAGGTATTTGCCTATAATTTAATCTTTGTTAATATATGTACCTAATAATGTTAATCTAATTTTTATCCGCACAGTCAACCACGGAAATACTTTGGGACAGAAGCAGAAACCGCCGATGTGGACGCATTTATAAACCAGCATAGCAGTAAAAGCAATTTAATGATAATTATCACGAAATTTGCAGAATTTTTATGTACTAAATGGAACCAAGAATGGCCGAAAGGAATGTCAGATATTTATCTACAAGCATATGTCTTTATGAGGTAGGTGCATAGAGATTAATTTTCCATGTTAAAAAGCGAAAGATTTGAATTAAAAATACTTTTTTTAGACAACATATTCCACATTTATCACCATTTGATGAAGATGCCAATGACAAAGTTCTGAAGTTGGATACCGAAGCGACATTGTTGTTTGGTGAGCTTCATACAGACAGATGGCTAGATAATAAACCAGATACTTTGCCAAATCCAACGTAAGATCCCCAATAATTGTTTCTTCATATTGATAAAAATAGCTTCTTGTAGTATAAATAAAATTGTTATTATAGATTAGATAAACTTGGTACTGGAATACCAGCAGAAGAATTGGGACATATTATATTTGCGAGTGTTAGACAGGATCTTCTAAAGGAAGAAAATTTATACACATTGCTGAGAATTCTATGGCTTAAAAGTAATATTTTTCTGTGCCAAGGTGATATAGACATAGTCATAGAAACATTAGAACTGGTAAGAAAATGCAATATTAAATTAATATTAAAGTAATTATTATCTATTACAAACTAAATAGATATGAATTTTTTCAGTTATTAAATCGCCTGCATGAAATGGAAAGTAGAAATCTAAATCCATGTATCATGCTCTTAAATTGTAAAAATAACTCTCAAATTAGTGCCAAACTTGTGAAGAAAAAGCTTACATCAATCCAGAGGTATTTTTTAAATATTTATATTAACTATTATACGTTCCAAGTTACTGTATATATTAAAGCTGATACTATAATTTAATTTTTTATTATGTAGAGGTCAAAAATTGGGCGAAATTCAACATCTATATGAAGAAAAGAAATATGCAGAATTGTCTTCCATATTGCAGGATACTTTTAAATTTGCCAAACAGAGACACAAGCTGTTGGTAACTAATGGAAATATTGTCGACAGAGTTCGACAGTTAAACATGTTACTTGACAGCTTATGGCAACTTCAACAATATGAAGTAATAACATAAATATATACATCATAAAAAAATACGTAAAAAACGCTAGATTTTTAATAATATTGAATACTTTCAGGAATGTTATGTCTGGGCAGAGGCTTGTCTGAATGAATCGTGGCAGAATTATTTGAACTCCTCTGACGAAACTGAACAGAAAAAGTGGACAAGTTCTGTTGTAACGGCACTTCAAAAATTAGAAGATTGTACGATCAAAGCCAGTGCATTTATTGGTAAGATTATTTTATCACTAATGACATTCCTGTAATATAATATTATTACATTAATTTCATGATTTATTATAATTTCAGTAAGATATCTGTCAGAATCTCGTCTATCGAGATTGGTACAAAACTTAGTTCACATTGTTTGTCATCAATTGGATGTACCAGAAAATGCTGTGGAGATGCCATTGGAAACTGTTCTACCTTGGATCCTATTACATTACATTCTACAATAGTAAGTTTGTCGAGTAATGTGTATAGTATACCGTTATTATATATATTATGAAATTGATTTGTTAATAGCAAAGAAGATAAAGAGAGAGCAAAAACCGAGTCCCCTTATAAAAATAAATCACAAAGTTCTCATAATTCCGAATCGGATGACGAGGACGACGGCATTCCACCGTCCATCATGATTTTATTCATTGCACATGAATTTATCGGCAGACACTCGTGGTGTTGTTTCAACGAGGCGAAACTTCTGTTCTTCATTATGAATCTTATTATACCGCAACTCGAAACTCCTCTGTATGTTTCTATCAAGAATAGGCTCACGAAATATTTGGAACAGATATTCTTTTGCCTATACGGTCATCCGAACAGAGTGAACAAGATGCGGCCGAAGTATCAGGATCACGGAGTACCGCAAATGGAATTAACCTGGGACGGGGCGCAGCTGCTGTTTGATTTTTACAAGCCGAAACAACTGCCAAACTTTCAGTCCCCTAGAATTCTTTCTATCACCACGGATACGGAGATACTGTTCAAGAGAATAATCAGATTGGTTCCGCAGGAAAGCGATCCGAATCAAATAGTGGACGAAATGACGGCGTACATAATCGGCGCGAAAGATAAGATGCCGAGCGTAACGAAACCTTTACCGCACTCGATATCCACTATCTATTATCTGTTGGGTGACTTTTATTTCAAAAACAATAAATGGGAACACGCGTGCCGGTATTATTTATTAGATTTGTGTTTATATCCAAAGGGATTAAATTCGTGGACCGGTTTAGCTATGGCAACGGGTAGCATAATAGAGATTTGGTTGAACAATTATAGACCTATGTAAGTATTGTTTTCTAAATTTCACTTTGCTCTTTATGTATTATATTTTTTTAATTATGTCTTTGATATTTTTAGAGGAAAGGATAAATTTCTCAACAAGGCAAAAATGGCGCAATCGAGTTATCACCACGCTATCGAGCTGGCGCCCGGTCATTCCGTAATTTGGACAGAATATGGGAATTTCGTTTATATGGTTCATTCATTTTGTTCACGATTGCTCAAACAAGAAACCGACACGTTGAGTATGGAGAGATTTGAAATTTTGGAAACCAGAAAGGAAGAGATGCTGGAGATTGCAGATCAGTGCTTTGAATCCGCTAATCGGATATGTCAAACTATTGAAGAGCCATCCATACAGCACGATGAAAGGTGGCTTTATCAATATATGCTTGGTAAAGTTGCAGAGAAGAAAAATCAGGATCCTCCTGTATTCTTGGAACATTACGCAAAGGTTAATAATTTTATTTATTATATTCTTTCTCTTTCTTTTTTTTATTAATGTTTGATACTGATTAATATACTGCTATCTAATTTTAGGCTAGTGAATTGTTATATGAGAATAACGCTCAATATCCACGTAGAATAAGTCACAAGAGCCCACAAAATCTGTCTATAGAGGCCCTAGAAGTTCATTATCGCATTCATGCAAGTATACTGAAATATTTGGAGCAACACGAGGGAAAGCCACTGAAGAAGTCATTAGGTCAGTTGTTCCATTGGCATCTTAAAAACTGCTCCGAGGGGCCTTTTATGAAGTACCAGCCCAAAATTAACGACAAGAAAAAAGAAGAGAACGCCGATGTTGAGAAGAGTGTGTCGAAGGAACTCGACAGTACAGCGGATACAGATAAAAATGTAGCAGTATGTCAACGCTCGAATAGTATCGAAGAGATAGAAATCATAGATAAATCGAGCAAAATCTCTGATATTAAGTCTGCAGAACTAGGAAAGTCTGAAAGTCGTAAGAGATCTCCCGATGAACCGTCACATGACAATACAAAGAGAATAAAATTAAGTAGCGTTTCGCACTTACAATTAATGCAGGACGTCGTAGCCTTAATAGATGATATAATTACCAAAGTTTGCGATATGGTGTCGCAAAAGGAGAAAACGAGCGATGATATAATGATCATATCTAGTGATGAGAGCAATGAATCAAAATTGCAAAAAAAGAAGCTGGAAAACAAGAGTGCCGATAAAATGAAATCGCAAACGAAAACGGAGGAGAATAAGAAAAGTTCGGCAAATATATTGACAGTCGATTCTGAACGTAAGACTGATGATGTACAGGATTTAATGGATGCTCTCATGAAACAGGCAATGGAAATTAGTCAAGAAACCCAGCAATCTTCAGCGGATGACGAGGATACCAGAAGATTCGATGGCAAATGGTTGCAGAACGAAGACTTGCAATCTACTGTAAGTTTGTTACATATTATATATTTGACATACATGTTATATATTTAACTTAATTAATTTTGAACGTTAATTGATACGTGCAATTAATTTTTATGTATAGGAGAAAGACAATAAGGACAAAATAGAAGAGAGAAGAAAAGCGCAAGCCAAAGCGAATGAAGAAATGACTTTAAGTAGAAGAGGCTCTCAGGAAAGCACCACTACTACGCAAACCACAACTACGACTACGGAGACAAATAATTCGAGCTCTAGTAGTAGCGAGGAATCTAGCAGTAGTGATGATAGTTCTGACAGCGATAGTTCTAGCGACAGTGATAGTGAATCTGTCGATAGCGACGCGGACAAAAAGAAGAAGGAGCCTAATAGTGTAGAGAATGGTAAAGTATACTATTGCTCATTATTATGGAAATGAATTAATTCTTTAATTTGCAAGTATCATATTTTATTAGTGCACAAAAATTATAAACTTACATTTGATATTTATATTTTGAACTCTAGAAGAACAGATGCCAGAAGAAGAAGTGGCAACATTAATTGCGTATTGCTTAGCTGGCTTGGAGCAGTGTATATTAAGGTTCACAGAACATCACAAGTCATTTTATAGACTTTCACACTTCTTCTTTAACAACAAAAAAGCGAAGGATACCGTAAAATGTAAGGACCTCTTATTAGGGACATACACTTGTCAGTTCTATCCCGGACAAAATTTTCAAGGACTTTTTGCCGAGAGAAGAAGTACTAACTTTTTTAATGTAAGTATTCTTATAATTGTATGATGTAAGCATTCTTTACGTGCATGATATATACATATGTGTACACACATAGTATATGAAATTAAAAGTTACTTTAGAATAATACGATAATGATCTGTCGATTAAGTCAATGCTTAATTTAAATCATTTAGAAAGTAATTTTAATATTAAACGTTTAAATGCAGCTTTATCAAAATATTCTATAACTTTTGCATTATGTATCTGGCTATCAGAATTTGCCACAACTGAACCTCTTGCATCACCAACAAGTACCGGAGTTAAATTAGTTTTAAAAGATCGCATTATTATATCTGGTTGTAATGCAATTGCCATGGTGATACCATCCGCTGGAAACCACGTATTATTTTGTTTTTCTAAAGCCTTTCTTTCAGCTTGATACAAAAAGCTTGCAATAGAATTATCCATACTTTTGTAAAGGCTTCTATACTCATCCTGTTTAAATAAAAAAAAAAGTTCCATTATTTAAAGATCAATATAAAACTCAAATGCTTACAGATATATTTGTAGATATTATGATATATTACTTTTGAAAAGGCATGAGAATGTACTGTGTCTATCGGAAGTATAATGCTAGGTTTATTGGTATTATTTAACACAATCCAATCACTTTCTGGATCTTGCTTAAAATTAAATTCAGCTTCATTCCTTTTGATGTTCGCTCCCATCATGATATGTTGCTTGGTTAAGTGTAGAAAATTGGGTTCTAATGCAATTGCTGTAGCAATTGTTGTTAAAGGTCCAAGAGTGATTACAGTTATTTCACCTATAAAAAAATTGGATATTTACAACATATATATTAAATTAATAGAGAAATTATATATATTAAATTAATAAAGCTCTAGTATCGTGAGCAATTTTTTTAAATAAAAGTAATTATACCTGGATATTGTTTCACTAAGTCTACAAGCGCCACAGAAGCGTGTTTCGATCTGTCGACCTTTGCAGTTATCTTTTTGGTAAAATTAAAATCTCCAAATCCATCCTTACCAAAGTAACCATCATCTTCATATTCATTTATTAATGGTTTTTTGGAGCCAATATATACGGGTACCTGCCAAGTTTTGAAAAAATAATTATAATTACATACATAGGTATTGTACGAGATTTTTAAATATTATCTATAAATTGTAAAAAAATTGAATATATATATTTAAAAATATTTAGTTGTTAAATACTCACTTCTTTGTTAGCAACTGTTAAGATTTTTAATAAATTCTTTTCTACATTTTCTATATTGGTATTGCCATATGTGCCAGTTATAGCTAGAATTTCGATTTCACGAGTTTGAGCCTCGTGCATGACAGCCAGCATTATTGCTAGAGCATCATCTCCTCCAGGATCTGTATCTATCACTATTTTTCTTGGTGTAGTACTATACTTTTGACTATTTTACAAAAGGGACTTCTATATATATTCCAATATTATTTTATTGCAAAATATTATTTGCATGCAAACATCTTATTCATTAAAAAATTTGCAAAGCAGTATAGCAGTAGAAACCTTTTACCTATTTTAGTATTTGCGGTAGATTATAAAAAGTAATCAAATAATTATTTAATTATTACCTGATGGTGGAACAAAGTACATACAGTATTATCATAATTTCAGATATAGCACGAATTATAGCCATTTTCCTTTAATTATCTGATAAGACCTGTAATTATGTATGAAATTAATATGTTATTAAAACTGTTGAAACAAGTACTTTTTTTCATATTAATGATATGACATTGTACAAATATTCTTTAAAAATAACATTTGTGTTATAGGGGGTGTGGCACATTCCAGTTAATGAAATTGACAGACCTGGAAGCTTCGCTTCACACATGTCGAAATGCGTAACGTTACTTATGCAGGTGTTAAAAGAAAGCAACGATAGCCGAATGTTAATGCAACTATGCATACAGCTCGGAAAGACTCCTGATTCAGACAAGTAAGATTAATTAAATTTAAAAACATAGCTTTAAATTTAGATCATGTTATTTACGCTTCTGACTCAGGATAGCAAGACAGAATTATGTAATAAGAGAAAATGGATGATATAATACATGATCTTTTTCTGCATCTAGGAAATACTTACGTGATTCTGAAAGAGAACAATTATCCCGACAAGCTCTGACACTTTGTCAACAGTCGCTCAGGAGCAGAGTTCAGGCGATGGGCTCGATAAGCACAATTGACAGCGTGCACCTTATTAGAACGGACGCTAGAACACAAGTACTACTTGATGTATATGAAATATATCAACTTGTCCAGAAACATTTTCAGGGCAAAGAATCGACTATACAATCATTCGCAACATTATTGACAGATACATACAAGATGTATATAGACAATAAAGTAAGTATAGTAAATCTTAGAAAATATACTTTTGTTAATAATCGCTATCGGGATTAGTGCTATCTGTGCGAATACACTTTACATATAGCTTTAAAACAGCGGAAGTTTTATTAATACACATGTGTATCTCATCTTGAATCTTATCTGTTATCAGATCTTATCTTTCCTTTTGCCCGGTGTTAATCTTTTTTTTTTACATTCGCATAACTGATTTAATAGATAATACTAGCAATAACACACAAATGACGTATTTGCAAAATACATAAAATAAAATATGTTCACCAATAATATAATATTATTACAATCGTACCATGTCGTAAAATGTTATGTTATTTGTGTCTTTATTTCATTGAAAAATGACTTTTCAAGGAGTCAAGCGATTATAAACTATTATTTCTTACTTGTATTTATAACAGTTATTAAATAATAGTCGCGACAATTTCAAATGTTAATACTCGCACGTTTATTGTTTATAGAACTTGGAAGGAAACATCTTGGAGATCGCTATTAAGTGTTGTCAACGTCAGATACAAGCAAACAAAATCGCATCTATTACTAGCAACAGCAATAGCTCTCACATGCCACCTCTACAGGTCGCCTCTACTATCTCGGTAAATAAATCGCTGTTACCGCCTTATCATTGCGATTGTCAATATCACGATCGTAATTAAATTATTATCAAATTAATATCTTTTGTTGCAGACGCCCGCGCCACAAGTGCCGGTCAATTCAACGTCCCCGCAAACGTTGCAGAATCGCAAGCCGCATAGAAATCTAACGTCTACCGGACGTCCGAGGGGACGTCCGCCCAATGTTAACAAATACTTAAATGCTCTACAACAAGGCAACGTGATGGGTCAGTTCGGTTCCAAGAGTAACTTCACGAACTACATGGGTGCATCCGGACCGAATCGTTCTATGATAAATCCTTATTTCATGAGCCCATTGGTCGATCCGAACATGCTATCGGCTCTACTGGCCAGCGGACTAAGCAGCAATATGATGGATCCCCTAACAGCTATGACCTACTTAAATCAAGTAGGAAGTTATCAAGACATTCTTAGACAGTATCAGAACAACCTGTCGTCGTTAACCAATCTCACTAGCTTAAACAATCCTGGTACTACCATAACCAGCATCAGCAATGTTTCGACAATGAGTACATCCAGCTCTAACGTCAATACTTCGAGTAACATCGCTAATTTGAATAGTATGAAAGGTTCTTTAGATCCTATGACAGCGTCGGTGCAACAACTACTGAGTTTAAGTAATTCTACAGTGTCGACCTCGCGACCGACCCCCATGTACCATCAAGCGGCGGCCAAGACTAGCACGACTATGTCACTAACGAAAGACCGACCTAGCATATCTATAACGCCAGTTAGCACTTCGATGAGCCAGCAGCCTCATCACAAGGTGAAGCAGCTCGGCAAGCAACCGGGCGCGCAGATCGAACCGGTATTACCCGTCCACATTCCCAAATCGCTTCAGATATCGCCAACGAAACCGGTATTACACTCGTCCAACCCGTCGGCGCAGGTGTCCCTGCTCAAGCCATCCATTATTCAGCAAGTGAAGAGCAGTCCGCCGAAACAGATGGGCGCGCCGCAGATACGGGTCTCGAAATCGTTGACGGAGCCGCAACCCGCGCACAATCCGTCGTTGTCGCACTCGCCTCTGAAGACTAGCGGTAGTACCGTGACGACAAATCCGACCGTGGCCATGCCGCACGTTGCCCACACATCCATGGGCGCGCCGGTGATCATGAAACAGCAGCAAGCATTGCCCATGAACTTACCGAACGTGTCACGTTCCGGTACGTCGCTGCAGCACAAATTATTGTCGAAGAAGAACTCCCAGCGACCTTACTCGACGCAAACGAACGTGCAGAATCACCCCGTGAGGAAAGCGAAATCGTCGGTCAAGGCGACGGCCATGCCAGTCCCGATGTCTGGCAATTTTCCAAATCTACTAAACACGATACCGACGAGTTCCGCCGCGATGTCGCAACCGCCTTTTATACCTCCAGAATTAAGCGGCATCTCGGTAAGCCCTGTCGGTTCGCAGCCCGGCGGTATTAAGGCGGCGGCGGCGGCGGCCGCGAGCGCTAAATATCATAGCTACAAGAAATCTATCAACAAGCCGAAACCGCCGACGGCGATGGAGGTGCCGAGCTCGTTACCGGCTTCATTCCCCCCCGGCAGCTCGGTCGAGGCACTTTCGATGCTGTCGCAGTTACAACAGCACTCGCACCTGGAGATAATACCGCAGCAGAAGGCGCCATTAAAGCCTAGCATTGATTATACGAAAACTCTGTCATCTTCTGTGAGTGTAGTGCCGCCGAAGGTCCCAGAGACCTTGAGGCCGTCGGCCACCGCTGATTGTATGTCCATGTACGATATATCCAGGGGAAAAGCCGCTAATGTTTCGAACAAGAAGACACAGGATAAACTCCTTGCTGATAATGTCGAAATTATAACGTTGGACGATTAAGAATCGCTCAAACGTGCGCAGACATTTATTTAGCGTAATATATATATATATATATGTGTAATATGTTTTTTTTTCTTTTTTCAAGGAATATTTGCAAAGTTATCTACTTGATAATATTAATTAATTCCTTACCTTGAGATAACATTGTATTCAGGCAATTGCAATAGTATTTCAGTAGAAATGAAGTTACTTCACCGCATTAGCTATGTTATGTGTTTTACATGCGTTTCGTATAATTTCTGCTTCGGTTTATTAAACGCTGAAACTAGTTGCATGTAAAATCGTCTACCGAATTCTAATGCAATGAATTGATATTGATACTAATTTATATAATATATATTAAATTTGTTTTCCTTTAAAATTTTTATATTAGCGGTAAATTATAGTATTATTTGTGACAAAATTATTCTGACTTTTGTATATATGAGTTTTATTTCTTACTAACTTTTATTTCTTTACTGTAAAAACTTTTTTGTTGCAATACAAAGCCTAGCGTTAATTATTCTTTTAATTAGTTATGTTTAAGTATATCTAATCCTCTTTGGAGGATATAAAAATTCTAAGAAACAAATTTACGTGTCAAAATCGATCGTTCTTTTTCAGAATTATCATTCTTAGAGAGGTACAGTGGAACTTTATTATGCGCTTTCTAACGTTATTAATCGTAAGATATTAAGTTTAGGTAAACAATCCAAAAGACTTTATTTAATTATGAAGTTTCGGTTATACACATACCTCTCATTAAAAAAAGATATAATTTAATTAATTTAGTATGTTCACAGATGAAAATAAAATAACACATTGCTTTTTCACTAATTCTACTAAGGCATTTCCGCATAAGAAAACATTATTTTTCTACCGCATATACTTTATAATGACGACACTTTTTTCTACGTGTACAATAATCTAATGTAATTAGCGCTTCAATAAACTTGAACGTTTTCTAAACACAATTTATGTGTTTGTGTGTTCGTAACTTACCTCTGTTATTAAAAGGGCATTTGGTATCTAAGAACTATAAATTTCTCTTGTTATCATTTTCGTTATTTCACCGTTTAGCAATTTTCTTTTTCACAGAAGTTTTATATACCTAAAACCTAAAACTATATTACTTAACTCCTATAACAATGGGTTTTTTCTATTACTGAACTGGCTGCACTAGAAAACAGATCTAATATAACTAAACCGCATTATTTTTTTCTAGAATTATCGTAATGTGATCTCCATGGCATGAATGTGTTCAAAGTTTAACTATCTTTTCTCAAGGAAAACAAAAAAGTAGCATTTGACAGTAGGGTGCGGAATTAGGAAAAAGGGCGATATTAGGCACAGTTCCTCCACTTTTTAAAAGCGATGTTTAATAATTTTTATTCAACGATATAAAATTTAGGAATACATAAATTTTTGCAAGAAGCGTGATGTGCTTTCAAATCTATTTTTTGTATTAATA